ACATGATGCCGGCGCTGGGGTCCCCTTCGGATGCATCGTGACATCTGAAACTGGATTTTACTGGTTCGTCCTCCTCGGAGTCATCTTCCCCGTCCTCCTTCCGCTCGGCTCTTCGCTCGGTACGTTCGGTGTGGCTCACCCTCCATGCCGTGAACAGGCGCTTTATCCACCCTATATTCTTCTCTCGTTCCTCTGCCCGTGCCTTGGTCTTGTCGTTGTTTCGCACCCATGTCTGTATGGCCATCGAGGCTGCCTTCCCCACTACCTGTAGTTCACTCGTCACCTCTCCCGCGAGCTCCCTTCTCTTTCTTTCGGGTATGGAGTCCGTGAGTGCGGGTCGCGTGCAGGCAATCCCGTGCCCAGTGTTGTGCGAGCGTTGTAAAATTCTTTCTCGCACCGGCCGAGAGATCTCGCCGCCGTCCCAGGCGGCGAAGAGCTCGTCCACCTCCACTGTCGTCACCACGCGGCGCTTCACTCGCTTCGACTTTGACATGGACACGAGCAGCGGCGGCCGCGCTGAAGAGCGGGCGCCGGACTACTCGTACTCCATCAGCGACGGCCTCCTCACCTTCCTCTCGGTCATGGCGCCGACGCTCGTGCTCAACCTCGCCTTCTCAGTGGCCGGCTTCGGCGATGTGACCTACCTCTTCCTCGAAGACCTCAAATACCCATGGTACGCTGCAGCCGACGCCTGCCTGCTCCTCTGCCTCCTCCTCTGGATGCTAGACGCTCATCGATGGACGAAATCGTATATGGTGGTGGTCCGGCGGCTGTGCATCGCGCTGGCGGTGCTGCTCGCCGCCGTCGCCTGCTCGCTGGCGACGCGCGTCTACCCATTCGCACCGCTGCAGCTCGGCGTCTCCACGCCACGGCGTCTACTGCAGCAGGGCCGGCTGACTCCAGTCACGGTCGTTGAGTCTCTGGCCCTCAGGCTTTTACGCGATCCCCGCCTCCGCCTTTGCCGTCCGGCGCGGCCTCGTCACCCGCCCGCCCGCTCCAGCGTACATGCGCGGCCTGAGCAGGCGCGTCGCCGCCGCCGCTCGGACCTGAGACGCCCGATGCAGATGAGTTGCTGCTCTCTCCCCCTTTCCTCCCTGCCCCTCTCGCTGTCTGGTGTTAATGGACCCCCTTCCTCTCCCTCGCCACCGTCACCGTCACCATCCCCGTCGCTACCCCGGCTAGTCGCCGACCACACCCACAAAGAACCCTGCACATACGAAGATCTAGAGATGCGTCTGCAGGAGTGTCGCCGTCGCCGCCGCGCTGAGCCTGACCTACTTTGCGCTGTGGGTGGCGGTGCTTCCCCCACCGGCGTCGCGGCTGCGCACCGGGTGGGACGAGGACTGGCTTGCGCCTTCGCGTCTTCTTTTTTTGCCGAGGGGGTTCTTTTTGTTGTAGGTGGGACGAGGACTGGTTTGCG